AGCATTCATAAGTTGTGATATCTTTTTCAGCATATTACTCATCCAAAAACCTTCTTCTACCCTTATTGAACACACTCTTTTTTTTCTCTCTTTCACCATTCACCTTTTTCCTTTCTTTCATTTATCAACTTATTTTTCTTTCATCATTTTTTATTTTAATACTTTCATTTTTCCTATTTTTGAAAAAGAACTTTTCCTTTTTTCTCCCCAACTTGAATCAAACCTTACTCTTATTTTGAAAGCTTTTCAATCCTAAGGAAAGAGATATCAATCATGATTTTTTCAAGGTTCATTTCAAGAAAAGAGATTAATGATCTATCATGGATGAACTTTATGATTTTGAATGAAAGAGAACAAATTCACTAAGTGGTTTACTTATTAAATTGTTTAGTCCATCCTTTGATATATTCATGTCATTTGTCTCAAAAGGGTTTTCAAATACTCACTCACTCACAAGGAAAAATAAGGCTACATTTGACTCGGTAGTTGTGCTTAATTTCAAAGAAGTGTCTTGATCCTTTATATTCTTTCACAAGTATCAAAATAAGTGAAAGATTTAAACATGAACCAAACATGTTAAAACAAGAAATTATCAGTCTCCTTAGTATATGGTGAATAGCGAAAATATACCTCATTTTTAAGGTTGGTTCTAAAGTGATTCAAGCATGAGTCATGTTATGTAAAAGAATGTATGAGCTACCTTTATGAAAATTACCAGTTTCATATTCATGCTATGTCCCTAGAAATCAATAAACATGTACCTTGGATTTTGCAATTCTATCAAATTGGTATCATTACATTTCACCTGTTGTTGAATCATGTAAACATGGACATTCCATTATTTGCTTCTTTAAAACATTTAGAGGATAAATGTTTGAACACAAACTACAGAGATTAAACATATGAAGCTTTCAAAGATTCAGAATACTTAAAAACACACAAAATACTAAAAGGAATTAAATGGCATGAATATCATTGTTACTGATTCTGATATTCTCGCTTAGTGAGAAAGAGATTGCTTAGCGATCTTAGAAGAATTTAGTTTTCTTCAGAAATCTTTTGTGCACCTCCCATGCCATTTTCTTCTTACTTGTGAAACTTATTATGCAAAGAAAACTTAAATATTTATAAAGTTAGGTTTCCTACCAACAATCTCTTGTTTAACGTTCTTAGTTTGATGCCTTTTCTTGATTGGAATCAAGGTGGTCTTTTGTGATATGATCCAATCACTCTCATCACCAGAATGTGGCTTTGGTTTGTCCTGCATCTTTCTCAATGGCTTGGCCCTATTGACAATATCTTGGATGACTTTCTTGTAGGATTTGGCATTTTAACGAATCCTTCTGATTCCTTTGATTTATTGTGGTAATTTGTTTATCTCCATTTCCTCTTCTACCGGGAAAACTTTCTGTGACATATCCAAATCGGTCGGACAATCACCCATGTTTTAGCTTCTTTTAATTTGTCAATAACATCCATTATTCAACATACCTCTTTGTGGTTTGGATGCTTCATTGCTTCAAACATACTGAAATTGACTTCTTTATCTTGAACCTTGACTTTCATCACTCCCTCATCCACATCTATCATCATTCTTGCCGTTTTTATGAATTGTCGACCCATAATTAGAGGAATATCATCACTTGTTTCAATATCCATCACTATAAAATCTATAGGGAATATAAATTTGTCGACTTTAACCAACACATCTTCAACTATCCTTGATGGTCGAGTGATGGATTTGTCTGCTAGTTTGAGTGTAATATTTATGTCTTTTATATCAAGAACGCCAATCCGTTTAACCACTAATGAAGGTATTAGATTTATGATGGAGTCGACATAAATCAATTATTTGACCACATTTATGCTTCCTATAGTAATAGGTAACATAACTCTTTCCGAATTTATTTCTTTTTGCGAAAGCTTTTTTTTGTATGATAACACTACAACTAGCATACACTTGGATTGTTTCATCATTTGTGTACCTCCATTTTTTGTAAGAATCTCCTTCATGAATTTGGAATATGTTGGCATCTATTCTAAGGCTTCAAAATATGGAATGTTAATATGTAATCTTATGAAGAAGGTCAAGTTGATATGGATACTGATGAAGGTCTATCCAATACCATTGTGTTACTCGAGAAGCAATTCAATAGAATTCTAAAGAGAATGGATATAAGAGGAAGACCAAATGTCAAGAACATCTCATCTGACATTAGTAATAACTATGATTCTCAAAATAATATCAGAACTGAAGACAAGTCCAATCAAAGTAAAGGAATTCAATATTATGATTGTGAAGGTTTTGGTCACATTAGACCAGAATGTCCCACCTTTCTTAAGAAGCATAAAACTGTATCTTGGTATGATAATGATGAGTCAGAAGATAAATTTAGCACTGAGACTGCCAAACTTGTGATGGATCTCTCTGACAAATGGGCAGATGAAGTAGAAGCTTGTAATGATAATGATCTATATGAAGATATGGATGTGTCCTACAAGGATACTTGTGATAGGTGTGAAGAAAGTCTTAAGACAGAGTAAGAATAGAGAAAGATCATAACTAAATTATAGAATGAGAAGAAGGAACTTATATGTACTGTTTCTCATCTATAAAATGAGGTAACTCTCTTAAATTCTAAGTTTGACAACTTGAAAAATTCCTTAAGAATGATGGAGAATGGAACTGATATGTTAAAAGAGGCTGAAGATACAAGAGTTAATCACCCTTCTTATAATCAACAAAAGAAAAAGGCATGTAGAAAAGTTCTTTCCTTCTGAAAAGAAGAAAATGATCACCATATCCAACCAAATGTTATAACATCCTAGCAGACATGATGTAACTTCATCCAAATCTCAATCCTCGACTTGGATATGCCATTACTGTGGTAAGTATGGTCATATAAAGCCTTTTTGTTTCAAATTGTATGGAGATCAAAAGTCTTCAGTTCAATCTAAGGCTAATCAAGTAAGTAAAAAGAGAAGTGTTAAGGATATGGATTTTAACCTTATAGCTCATACTTCCTTTAAAGACTCGACTAGTGAAGACTATTACTTGACAATGGGTGCTCTAGACATATGACAGGGATCCATAAGTTGTTAGTGGATGTCAAATCTCACCCAACAAGTTCTGTCAGATTTGGTGATGGGTTTAAGGGTGAAATCAAAGGAGTTGGAAAGTTGACGCGTGTTAGTTCTCGTAGTTTAGAAGATGTTATTCTTGTGAAAGGATTAATTGCTAATCTTATTAGCATTAGTCAATTGTATGGCCAAGGACTGTTAGTCAACTTCTCAAAGTCAGAATGTCTGGTCAAAGATGAGAAAAATGCTATTATGATGAAGGGCATTAGGTCTAATGATAACTGTTATATGTGGGAATCTCAAAGAATTGATTATTCTTCCACATGTTTGATAACCAATGAAGATGAAGTAAAGTCATGCCACCAAAAGTTTGGACACCTTCATCTAAAAGGAATGAAGAAAATCTTATCTGAAGGAGCTATTAAGGGAATGTCAGATCTCAAGGTTTAGGAAAATAAAGTATGTGATGCGTGTGAAATTGAAAAGCAAACCATGATATCACACCCAATGTTGCAACATCAGACTACTTCCAAAGTGATGGAATTTCTTCATATGGATATAATGGGACCAATGCAGATAGAAAGCCTGGATGGAAAGAGATATGTATATGTGGTTATAGATGATTTTTCTGGGAATACTTGGATGAACTTTCTTAGAGAAAAATCAAATACTTTTGAAGTCTTCAAAGATATGAGTCAAAGCATTCAAGAGGAGAAGAATAACGTGATTATCAAGAGGAGAAGAATAATGTGATGTCAGACCACATGCCTTGACATCTGATATCTGGAGTTTAAAGTAGTTGTAATCTCTGATGATCTGTAGCTGCATGAAATCTCTGATACATTTTTATGTTTGCAATTCGTATAAAGTTTACATGTTTTCATGTAATTTGTGTTGTGTGATTATGGTATTATTCCTGTCTCTAGAATTATTGTGCTAAGGTAGTTTTAGCCAAAATTTGCCAAAGAGGGAGATTGTTAGACATGTGGTTTTATGATTGAAAACAATTTTGGTAAAAACATGTTTCATGTTGAAAACATATATCACATCCTGATGTTGAGCAAGATGTCAAGACATCTTAACCAACTGATATATGAGAGTCTGCTGTTACTATTTTTGACAGATGTTCTGACAAATGTTGAGATATATACCAAAACAACATAATAGTTCAGCGGTTCAAATCCTTGAAGATTTGATTTTAAAATATGAGATTCTATATGATTCTAGTTCTCTACAGGCGCAGCTAAGCAATGATATTTTAGGAACCGTGCAGATTTGATTTAGTTTCATAAAAAGGATTTTGGATACTTTTTAGGAAACTTTGAAGATTTATTCATATTTTTGTGGAGAAGATCTTGCAGCTAATTTACTACTGGAAGATTGGATTTGATTGAAGATTCCAAACTCATTCTTGCATATGGTTTATCATAAATTTATCCATATTAAAAAATAGGTGAATTCTTATTTATCCAACACAAAAATTAGATAGAATTACTTTTATAATAAAATATTTTGAAAAATAATAAAAAAATTTACTATTTAATAAATAATTTAATAAGATAAAATTAAATACTACGATGTGATTAGTGAAATGTATATTACTTAATTATTTTATGATGGGTATGGAAGTTGTGTCTTAAAAAATATATATATGAATAAAAGATATAAAACTATTTTTACTAAACTACAACTCTATGATAGTAAAAAAATGATATTGAGACAATTAGTGTATCATCATTTTAAGACAAAAAAGGTATTTATTGTTTCACCTTTATATTCTCCGAAACAAGAATAAAAGTCGAAATCTATTGATGATAATTATACAAGATGTAATAGCTAGACAAAGGCATAATACAATGAATAATAGAAACTATGTATGTAGTATGCTTCATGAATTGGTGATGAAATGAAATAATATATTAATTACGAGGATGAGTATTATCTGGATGAGCCATTCCAGTTGAAACCTTAGCAACATCTAAAGCTGATGCTTCAGGCTTCTTATTAGCGTACAAAACAAAATAACCTAAGACAGATATTGCTGCAAATCCTCCTATGGCCATTCTCATTGGACAAAATGGCGCTTTCTTACGTTGGTGAAGTACTTCTGTTGAATGTTGTCGAGGTTGTGAATCTTTCATTGCTTCATTATTATTTGTTCCTGCCATCTTTTTTTTTTTTTTTTCAATTACAAATTTTCCCTTCTTGTGGTGTTTGTGGAAGTATTGATAAGAAAAATAGAAGGGAATGGGAATGGTTAGAAGAAATGTTAGGCGAAAAATAGTGGGTTCTTTACAAATGGATCGAGGTTCTATTATTGGATTTTAGGCATTTGACACGTGCATGTGTTGTAACTTCATATTTTGTTTGAATTTCGTACTCTCTATGATGTGAAGTAATTATGATAAAGGGTTTACATTTTCTGCATGTAAATACAAGAACTTTTAGGGTTGAATTCAAATTTAGAACTCTTAGTTGAGTTAGAAGAGATTTCTTAACATTATTTATATGTTTTTAAATATATTTTTAATTCATTTAAATTTTGATGGAGAGATCGACATTTAAATCAGCAGATATTTTGATGTTCGAGTAGATAGGAAAAAAAATATGTTTGTGTGAATTTGACAAGAGTTTTTTTATCGATGAATTTGGGGGACGGTGGTTTTAGTGTGAGACAGACAGTTCTCAAAACTATTTCTAGTAAAATGGTCAAGCATGAGAAAACGTGTTCTGAAAATTAACATATTTTTATACTATTTATCTTTTGACACTTTTGATTTTCTAACACCAAAAGCAATTGATCTTTTACAAAGAATTCAAAGACTTATAATAACAATATTATATTTCTTAGATCTATCAATATAATTTTTAAAAGAATTAATTTTACGATTCAAAAAAGAATAATGATATAATTTATTAACTGATTGTATTTTATTTCTCTGTATTGACTTAAATATTCATTTGATTATAAGTAACAAACTAGCCGGAAAGAAAAACATATTGAATAATTGAATTAGTAAAGATTTAAAAAAATTGTATACTTTTTTCTTTTTAAAATATCTAACCTATTTGTAAACAAAATTATCTATTCTTCCACTTTTAATACAATAGCCGATAACGGCAAGCGCCGGCTAAGAACGGAAAGCGGGTGAATTAAACATGAATTGAATTCTTCATAGTGCCTAATAAGAAACAATTGAATATTATACAAATGAGTTTTTTTTCCAGGTCCATTAAAGTTCAAACAAGTAGTTGAAGTGTTAAAAGCAGACAAAGACACGTGGAATTTGACAACACACCATTTTTATTGACGTAACTAGGTATGATAACGAAGTTTGAGTTGGTTCAATCTCTCTAGTCTAATTCTTTGATCTAGGTTGAAAGTTTTTGTTATTTTAGAAAGTTCAAATTGTCTCTAATCAATCTTAAGAGTCTACAGTAGGGAGGAGATTGTCTCCCATTAAAAATTTAGGATTAAAGGTATTTTATTTCTGTAACAGTAATGAATTTTAATTTTTTTTTTAAATTTCTTTTAATTTCTCAATAAAATAAGATATTCTCAAATTTGTTATTAGATTAAAATTTCAGTAGAATAAATATACATGACGCTTGACGTGATTTTTTTATTTAATTTTTTTAAATTCTATGTGGGAATTTGATTATTTTTAATATTTATTTTATTTTTTTATTTTTTATTTTTTTAAACTTTTTTTTTTAAATTTTTTAAAATTTTTTTTAAATTTTTTTTAAATTTTTTTTCTCCCACTTAGACAAATTTATTGTTTTGTTTTATTTATCCCATATTAATTTGATATACTAATTTTGTATAATACTTAATTTTTCCGGTAGATATTTAATTTTGTTTTTTAAACAGTTGAGATTTTGTCGACAAACATTGAATGATTTGTTCCCTGATTCCGACAACAGGAGAGTGACGAAGATCGAGTATCAGGAATATTTCATAGGTACTGATGGTTGGATAAAATACAACCTGATCGAGTCGAATCATCGATAATACAATTTTAAACAAACGCTTGACATAATGAACACTAGAAAAAAAAAACAACATTAATGTCAATATAAAAATTAATCCAGTAAAATCATGAATTACTTTGCCAACAAAAAAAATTTGTGATGCACACATTATATAATAAAATATTAAGATTAATTAAAATATACTGTCAATTTAAAACTATTTTATACTGTTATTTAATTAAAATTAATTATTTTGACATATAAAAAGAGAATAATATGAAAGAAATAGTTATTAAAAAAATTAATTTTAATTGGGTGATAGCGTAAAATTAATTAGTCTCTAAAATATTTAGTCTAAGTTGTTATTACTTGGGCATTATTATTAGGTTCTCATAGGTATTCTGAATTATTAGTTATTGGAGATAGATAAATATAGTAGCTTATATAAGGATCCAATTGCGTGTTTTAAATTTGGCGTATTTAATTTGAAATCATGCTGTTGTAAGTGGGGTTGAGTATCCCTAATACTCCCTTTATATATTACTTATTTTCAGAAGAAAAAAATCTCAATAAAATACAATGTATTTTAACTACTAATTTATTATATTCGTATTTTCTACTCATGTGTATACTATGTTTTCGATCGTGTATACTATTAGATTCGTATTTTCGACCGTCCAAAAAAACAAAATTCAGTACTTACCAGAAAAATTAAGTACCACACAAAATTAATGTATCAAATTAATATGGGATAAATAAATAAATAAAAAATAAAAAATAGTCGAACTTCCACATGGAATTTAAAAATAAAGTCACGTCAAGCACCACATATGTAGATTCTGCTGGAATCTTGACCCAATGTCAAATTGGAGGAATCTTATTTTGTTGAGGAGCTAAAAAAATTTTTTTTTTAAAAGAAGGGTAAATCAAAACTCGCTACTATTATAGGGGGTAAAATGCATTTAACCCTACAATTTATATGCAGTGAAATTCTAACCTTTCTTTTTCTCAATAAAGTAAAATAAAATTAGTTTTAATAAAGAATCAATGGTGAGATTGTCCACTTTATTTCCTCCAGTAAAATTTTCACTGGAGACAATCCAAATTTGTCTGCAATATATAGGTTCTTGGAAATTTTGACTTTTAGACTGAGTCTTTAAGATAGATGGTGAGGAGTTTAGACTCTTTAACTTATCAGAGGGAGGAGACCAATGTTAGACTTGGAGCCATTACAAATATGGTATTTGTTAAAAGTTAAAGATTCTTAATTGTTTCAAAGATTTAAAGTTAAGTGACGTGCAAGTGATATTCGTAATTTTGAACGAGTTGTTTTATTTTGGAGATATGGTCGAAATTTGATTATTTTACATAATTATTAGCAGTACAAGGAAACGTCTTAAAGAAAGTGATCTAGTATGCGACTCATCCCAATAATTTTTTGTGGCAATTTTTTAAAATTGAAAACAACATTTTCCCTTGAAACAACGCGACCTTCTAGCTCATTTCCTTTTGCCCTCGTAACAAAAGGTCTTAGTGGTTTGATCAGTAGGGTTGTTGAGTTTGATTTTTTTCAAGGCTTAGAGTGAAACCCTCTAATTTAGTGGTATCCAATCTTAAATATATGATTGATACTCTTACCATATATGACTCATTAGTTGAAAATTTGTAATGTATTAAGGTTATTCTTAGAATTTTTAGTTAACATTGGACCTTTGGGTTAATTTTTTTAAGAATAGATTACTATGAGTTAATGTTGATATTGTTTTTTTGGATTCAGTAGAAGTACTTGGAATTTCTTATGGGGATAATCCTCTCCTTGCATCCATGTGAGTCTCTCTAATTAGGTTGTTGTTCAAGAGACTTAATTCTTAACAGTATAGTTATACTAATTTAACCGTTCGAGTGTTCTTATTTAATTTTGTACTAAATGTTATCCCAGTCTTTTTTTAAAGATTTTTCATGTTGCTTTAAGTTTTTTTAAGGAAAATATGATATATAAATAGAAAAAAGAGTATGTTATACCCCAAAATTTTCTCTCCCATTTTCTTCAAGACACCTTCTCATGCTCCTAGGGTTCTCAATTGCTCAAGAATACTCAAGGATTTGAGCATGCAAGCACCCCTCCTAAGCAAGGACCTACAACTAGGATTTCATTTTTCTCAAGGAAATTTGAGATTATAATGCCTCAAGTTTATTTCATGGTTCCTAATATGTCTCAAGGAATGCTCATGCCAAATTTCAAGCCTTGCATCACAAGTTTGCTCAGTGAATTGCTCAGATGACTAAAAATCAACTATATTGGATAAAAAGTCAATTATGGTCAACATACAGTCAAGCTTCAAGAGTTTTGGTCAACATCAATATTTTTAATTCATATCCATCATTTGATCAAGGGTTGATCATGATTCATCAAGAAAACTCAAGATTCATCAAAAGTCAAAAGTTGTTAAATTAGGGTTTTTCTTAAGGAGAAGTCAACTGAACTTTGACCAAGCATAACTTTGACATGCTTCATCATATTTCTCTCAACCAAAGCTCATTTTGAAGGAAATTCAATTCTCTATAACCCTGTCTCTCTAAGCTCAAGTCCAAAAAATACTTCATTTGAGAGATATGGGCCAAAACATTATAGGTCATTTCAAAAGTTAACAAAAAGACATTTTTTTGTCAAGGCAACTTACATCAAGATAAAGTCCTCAAATAAAAAAATGATAAACGTAGAGATTGTATAGGACATCTTGAGCTTTCCAAAAAGTCCAAGATCACCTTCATATGACAAAAATTGAGAGAGTTATGATTGATGCAAGTTGGGAAATTTTGAGAAAATGTATGAAACCCAAGTTGATCAAACTTGATTTTTTGGGCTAATGGGCTTGTGTTTCAAGGTCTAAACGCGTTTTGTAACTCATAGTGAACCTATAAATTCATTCATACACCCCCTTTGATTTTTATTCCATTTATTTTTTATTTTATTTATTTAAGTTCAAAATAAATTAAATAAAATCAAGGCTTTTCATACAAAGGTCCAAGCCCACTTTCTTGACCTAATTTTCCTCTATATATTCTCATTATTCAGACAAGACAAAGGGGACGAAACCTTGCAAGAGACATCTCATTCCAAAAAAACTCCAAAATCATCCAAAACTAGGGCAAACTTCAAACCTTATTTGCAGCCTTCTTCAAGAACAACCAA